CCTTAATGATTCTATGATTCTATGAATGATGCTGCTGTATCCATATTTCGCCGTGAAGAGCAAGCTTACCATATTCTGTGGAGCCTTATTTCTATCTGCATACACTAAAAAAAGTGAGGTTTTTTAGAGAATATATGTAGATTTGATATCTGTAGAATAAAGGAGAGTTGGTATGTGTTTTAAAAAGATGGAAAAGATGTCAGACTACTGAACCTGCTGATTTTAATTACTGTGTAGCAGTTCTCAGCAATGATGACTAGTATTTCAATGCTGCAAACAACTGAAACATAAATACAGACTTGCAAACTGTGAATCAGGATAGTTGCAAGAATGTCAATCACGTTTGCGGAGCCGGTTTAACAAGAGTTGCCAAAGTAGCCGTAACTTTCACTGCTTGTGGACACCACTCGTTGGTACCCAGCTGGATGGCAGCTGGTTAGTGTGAATCATAACAAATCCTCTCTTGTTTGGTTAGTGGAAAATCCAGTGGCCACACTAGTTCTTTTAAAAGCAGGAATTAAAATTTTGATTTAGCTTACTGAAATACTAGGGAATCAGCAAATTCCATTCACTAGGAAGGCACTTTGCTCCAAAGGAGAGCGAATGAATACCTTGTGAAATAAATTGCCTGATGTGCTTTGTTGTTCAACTCCAGAAAATCACATTTTGATTTTATTTGAAGCTTCTTTTGCAGAAAATTCTGTCACTCACTATTGTGATGGAAAAATGACTGAAGTGTAATGCCTTTTTCAATTTTGTGTTGGCTTGATTTTTCTATTCCTTATCACAAGGCAGGGAATTCAGATGCCTTTAAATTCTTGGTTTGAAAATCTATAATTTTGGCACATTATTGATGAGTATTGATAGAACTCAAGGACACGTTCCAGCGTAGGAGACAAGAGCTTGCAGGATAGCGTTCCCGTTAACGTAAGTAGGGCTCACAGTTTATGTGATCATTGTGACATCGGAGCGTTCCCAGACGTGCGCTTGAATCTTTGACTGCTGCCAGTTGGCAACGCTGAGTGCTGGTGAGCATCCAGCTCTCTTCGGGTATTTTCAGGCAGGCCCCCTGGGAAAGGAGACTTCGATACAGAGAGAGGCTGCTTTCTACTCAAATCCTCTCACTACCTGCCGTGCAGCGAGAGGTTTGTGCTGCTGGGCACTTGGTTGCACACAGGGGTACCACTGGCAGATGTAGAAACAGGATCCCATGGAGCAGGGCACTGCCCGTTATGGCCAAATCTGACCCCCAGCCTTCTTACCTGAAAAGAGGTAAACAAAAATAGAGATTCACCAATCCACAGCAGAATTTTCTTCTCTTGACTCTTAATAAATTCATTTGGTTTCTGTTCAGTGCAGTAAATATTACTACTCTGTTTTCCAACCTTTAAAGTAGCACTGGAACCAGATGTTTTCATTAAAACCTGCTCTAAGCAAATGCAGCTGCCCTCTTTTTCTTTTATCCTGTTCCCTGACATTTATGCTTAGCAGACTTTTTAAAAAGATCTTTGTTTCACTTGTGAAACATACCGCAATCTTTTTCTCTGATCAAACTCCTAGTTTCTCATTAGTGTTGCCAGCCTCTACAGTTTCAAATAATGCATCAGTTTTGACAGATACTAAGCTATTTGTTATGTGTGCATTAACTTGCTAACAGTCATCTCTGTATCTTCCCTCTTAGTCTCAGCATAGGTTGATTGAGTGTGGGTATCTGAAAACATATTGAAAGCACATATATATGGATTTTGAGAATTTATTTTGAAAGTACCATGTAACCAGTATATATGACTAATATTTTACAGCAACTATGACTGGCAACTAATTTCTTTAAATAATATAGTAAACATCATTAGAAAATCTGATATCTGTGATAGCTGGCAGGGTTGGGGGTTTTTTTGAGCTTTTTCTTAGAAAATTAACCAGGCTAATTAATCTGGTGATTCTTAGCTCATTTGACTTACTGCTACATTTTTTAATTATATTAGGACCAGAGATTAAAACAAGCAAGTATTACTTGTGCTACTCTCTGAGGCCTCCTGTTTAGCTGCATGATCTCTGAAAGTTATCTAGTATGTGTTGCGGTATGAATTTTCTTTTGACGTGTTTGAGTAAGATCTGCATTAAAATCAGTAGATTATGTTTTCAAATAAGTGGTGAGACCGAGAGAAGATTTTTTTTTCATGTCCTTTCTTTTTCTTACTACCCTTTCAACAGCTTACTTTGTTCTATTACTGATTTATATTTCTTTGATTTCAAAATGCTTTCACTTTGCAGTGCTGCAGGCCTGCTTGCAACTGATTGCTGACAGCAAAAGTGATATCCAACAGAAAGGTAAGAATATGTTGCATGATTTATACCTAACTATTCCATGTATTAACTCTTCCATCCAATTTTATCTAACTTCAAAGCAGTAACTGACTTATGTTGCCAAATTAAAAAAAGAAAAAAAAAAAAAAAGAGGTCCCTGCATCTGGGCAGCTCTTGCAAATACCCTCTTTTCAGTGGGTAAATCCAGCTAGTGAGACTGGAAGTCTTGACTAGAAGTCAGCTTTGTTAATTTTTGGCAGATGAAAATGAAGAAAGTAACTTTTCTTTCTGATTACCCCAAAATTATTGTTTCTTTTAGATGATTCAAGCATTGTCCCTTGGCTTCTGAGCTTTAAACGTGGAACAGCTCTGGAAGAACAAGGAAATAAAATAGTGATCAAAGAAACAGGATATTTTTTCATCTATGGCCAGGTGAGAAAGTTCCATTCGCTTCAGCATCTGACTTTTTAAAGGATTTTTAATGTCTCCATACAATATGTTTGAAGTCTACACCTCTTCATTCTGTAGGTTTTATATACGGATACAACATTTGCTATGGGACACTTAATACAGAGGAAGAAGGCCCATGTGTTTGGTGATGATCTCAGCTTGGTGACATTGTTTCGTTGCATCCAAAACATGCCACAGTCTTATCCGAATAATTCTTGCTATACTGCTGGTAAACATCTACGTTTTCCTTTTCTTTGTTTGCAAATAAACTGTATCAAATAGAATCTGTAGTGTTGGGTGATTAAGTATCGTGGCAGTTGTAAAGAAAATTGACTGCATTCATGGATCTGGTTAATTGCAAAATTACAGAATACTTTCAAAAAATACAGTTTTATATAAAGTATCGGCAGTTGGAGGGTATGTATCTAACTAAGGTGATCTGAACAATTCCCCTCTCTCCGTTGACTATATAATGTCGTTAGATACTTTGGTGCTTTCAGTTAGATGCCTGAAGCAGACAAAAGGAGTACATACTGGCCTTATTGAAGAACTCAGTTTAACTTAGGTGTTGAATTCCACATTTAGTTATCCCCATAAAATATTTAGAAGCTATGTTCTGCTTTAAAACATCATACATGAATTTTAGTCACCCAATTTTTGCCTAGCTTACTGTGGGATTTCCAAAGATATTTCTTATCAGCTTAATTCTCTACTTATAATGGCTACTGCAGTTTTACTATTTGGTTAGATGAAAAATAGTTAATTCCTATAAGGAGCTCTTTCTGACTGCACAAACTAGAAACACCACAAGAAAGGCCAGGTAAAATATTTAACACAAGTCCAGCAGACTCAATGCCCAATATGTATGTATATTCCTGCAGTAGCATTTAAGGAATTATTGTCAAGGTCTATTAAACCTCATTCGATAGCTCTTATCTGTCTGTCTTTCCCCCTTAATGGTGGATTTGAGGGTTTTCTCTTTTGTTATTTTCCAGCAAGATCTGTGTGAATAAACACTATCTTTTTTTTTCAATGCCTTATAAAAAAGTGGGTGACACTGGGTGATGGAGTTGACTGTTGGCAAGTAATGCAATGGCATTAAACAAATGGGATGGGGAAGGAAGCTAATTTTTTTTCCAAACAAAAATAAATTATCTACTTCCTCCTGGTAACTGAGGCTGTCCAAAATTTTCTTTAACTTTCTGCCCCTCCACCCACACATTCTGGCATCATAACCACCTTCAGTTTCATCTGTCCTCTTATTTCACCCTTGTATTACTCCCCCCGATTCTTAACTTGGATCTCGACTCCATCCTGCCACTTCACAGCTGCTGCTTCCCAAATTCCCACCCTTTTTCTTTCATCTGGAAAACCAAATCTCACTGCAGTATCTCATGCTGTTGAGCGTGTGTTGCAGCCAACGTTAGATGTGCTCTCAGCTCAGTGACTGCAACTTGAAGGCGAGGTGCTTTCGGTTATCACGTCAGCTGATGCGCGGCTGGCAGGAAGCAGACTTTTGTGCTCTGCAGTTGCAGTGGATCAGCTGATGTCTGGTAACTTCATTTGGTTGGTAACGCTCATGAGACCTCCTCCAGAAGTGTGGGAACGGAGTGGTCTAGGACCAGCAATACCCAATGCCGACCTTGACTGTCACATCACCATAACACGAGGAATCGGGGTAGACCACTGTTACGAATTTTTGCAATGTTTGCTTAAGTGAACTGTGATATGCTGAGTGCAGAGTGGAAAGTAGGTCCAGCTCCACAGAGGATGTTAAGTGTCAGCTTTGGGTAGGCTACAATTTGTAAGATTGTGCCTAAAGATAAAAAAGCACTCATCGCAACTAACAAGCCATGGTTCTATTTGTAAGATGACGTGTAATGACTTTTTGAACACCGTTTATGAAAATAGTGCATTTGAAATATTAACTTAAAAATATTCCAAATCTTTTGCCAGGCATTGCAAAATTAGAAGAAGGGGATGAACTTCAACTTACAATACCACGGAGAAGGGCCAAAATATCCTTGGATGGAGATGGTACTTTTTTTGGTGCAGTTAGACTCCTCTGAAGCCCTTCATTTCTGTTATTATGCTTAATGCAGTTTTCTTCTTTTCCTATGCCTTTGTCAGAAAATATATTGAATTGTAATAAAGCTGCCAATTCAATCTCGCCCCATCCACCACCAGCTTCTGAGAACTTTTCTTTGGTTTAATAAGCAAACCCAAAACAGGAAACACTCCAGACACACTTGTGAGCTATAACCATCATGTGATTACCAGAAAGCCAATTTATTTTCGACAATGGGAGACTCTAAATAACAACCGTAAAGCAACATTTTTTTGGCTTTGAAACAATTTCTTGTCCATAAGACAAATCAAAGAAGGAGTTCACCACGAAGTATAGCATAAACAGGACCACTGACTATCAAATTATTATCCATAATTGAAAAGGAAAACTAAAACACAAGTACATCTTAGATTTGCTTTGTTTCATCAACAAAATGGAGGTGTCAGGTGGGTTCTGGGTTTTTTTGTTTTGTTTTTTCTTTGACATCAAGATTTTGGGGAAGGAAAAAGTCTAAATCTATGGGATAAATGAAAAGTCTAAATGTATCGGATAATGAAAACAAACTTCTCAGAAATATACGGAACAGTAGCCACTGGCTTGCTTCTTTCCTGTGAACAAAAGGTGTATAAATTACTAAAATCTATTAGTATTTACTAATAAGAATTAATCTTACTGGAAAAAGGACATGTAAGATGCTTCAACAGCTCAATCTTCAAAGCATTGCTATTCTTCAAGGAATATGTGTATACTTCTATGTAAGCAAGACTTACATACTTTCTATGTAAGAAAGAAACACGGTGAGATTAGACACAATACAGTAGCTGGAAATGGATTTCTGGCTTCATAGTTTCTGCAGTCATACATAGATGTGTATATATATACAGTATGTATAGGTATATGTATATATATGAAAGTATGTACACACATATATAAGCCTTTGACATTTGGGCATAGAATTTTATCTTCTTTTGAATCATTTATCCAAAAGAAATATTACTGCATACATATTTTTTTTATTTCTCTTGCTTTTTGCTATGATCCATTCTATGCAATATAGTAAAAAGAAAAATCCAATAATCCATACCACTAAGAAAATACATTTATATCCCAGAAATCTGGGCTCAATCATTAGGTTAACTAGGCTTTTTTCTGCACTTTTGAATATATTGCTCAACTCTGTTTTGCAAAAAAAATCAGACATGTAGAAAGACTAAACAGATGTCTTTTTTTCTTTTTTTTGGTCTGTCTTCTTTGTTCATTAGATAAGATTTACGTCTTTTTTACCCCAAGAATCCATGTGTATTGCATGGTCAAGGTAATAGCATGGTAATAGTGTGGTCAAGACTTCTAGGAGCTATTGTAATACAAACATTGAATATTTATTCCACTGATCTTCAAAGTATTGAAGTGCTACTGGAATAGATAAAATAATAAACCCCACAGTAATAAACTGTACTTAATCTGAAAATATTTTTTAGGGGTTGAGAATTGTGTCATATAAGCTCGTTTAGTAAAGAAAAGATGCTTTGTATATTGCAGTCTCCTTGTCTGTTTTTATAAATTGTGCTGATTTGATTGTGTTCTCATGGTGATAGACAATAAATAAAAGAGATTTGGATCTAGGAATTACAGGCTATGGTAAACTAATGAAACAATTAATTCAACTTCTCTGGGCTTCAAGAAGACATTTCAGCAATAAGTATATGTTTATTGAATTACCACACTGGGATTTTTATGAGGCTTAACTACAGTTTCAGAATGTCTAGAAGTCCTCCTTATACAAATCTATTTATTTATGTGTCCTGGAGCTGAAGCTGCTGCTGCTGCTTCTTCTTAGTAGTAGTAGTATTATTATTATTTAACTTTGGTGTGCTAAGTTTGCCAAAAAGGCATTTTAAATCCTCTACAGGAACCCTCAGTTTAGCAAAAGGTTGTGTGAAGCTGCATGTAGATGAAAAAATTATTAGCGTTAGTTTTCTGTTATTACTGACATACATTAAAGAGATGCCCAGAATCTTGTTGATTTTAGCATTGTCTGGTTATAGAAAAATATGTTGTTACTGTTGCTTTCCCAGAGACTTGATGGCTAAACTTGCAATTTAAGTTTTGGTATCTAAGTTTCCCCAGCGGTTTCAGTGGGCTTGTGTGTGCTTAGCTTAAGCTAATTCTGAGGGTGCTTGGCACCTTAGAAGGTGTAGCTTTGATATAAACACAGGGTAATATTTTATACAGACAGCACTTAGCAAAAATTCTGTGAAGCTACATCAATTGTCATCACTGCCCCTTTTTCTCGCAGTATTTCTTCCTTCTGCTGCTGGCAAATGTGGACAGCGCAGAACTTTGGAAAGTGTTTGGGATATGGTGTGGCTTGGAGGAAAACTTTTCTCTTCTGAGCCAAAAGATTTCAAAAGTGTTCCCTTCCTTTATTAGGATGAAACTGAACCTCAAGTTTCTTCACAAAAAATGTGAACCATGAGAACTCCCGCATGTGTGCAGAGAATGCAAGTCGACAGACTGCTCAGATATTTCTACTGACAAAGCTGGCCATTTTGTTGTTGTTGGGTTAGTTTTCTGCTGGCTTCATGAAAAAACTTGTCTTCTCAAAATTAATCTGCTTCTGCACAAAGTTGAGTTTTAACAGACCAGCATTTTCTGACCAAAGCAGGAAGAAAAGGAGGATACCTCATTCCTGATGGTTCTGCTAAGAAACTGGTGATACGTGAGGTAGCGAAGTGCATCCAGACCACAATCAGGCTTATGCATCAGTTAGTGGGAGTTACTGAAACTTTCTGCATTTGATAGATGTTATTTAAATAAGTGTGATAGGTAAAAGTAGTATCTAGTTGGTTCATACGATATTTTACGTTCTTATCAAGGACATCTAGCATTTAAGATAGATAGGTTTCTGCAAATGCAACAAGCTGTGCGAATACTCTGGTTCTTTTTCATGTGGTGCTAAGCAGCATCATGGCAAACATAAAGGACTTGAACATTTTCTTTCCAGTGCATTTTCACAGAAGGTGTGAGCTTGTATCATTCTTTCCTTTTTTTAATAATGCGCAGTTGGCAGATATATAGCTGCTTTGAAACATGTAATTTGTATCTTAAAAATGAAAATATGTCTGTTACAATGTGCATTCACACACCCTACTGACATACAGAGTACACTCATTACGTGGCTCTCCTGCCTCTGACTGTTTCTCAAATTGCTCAGCATTTGCCAGTGTAAGACCTTAATTTCAGTTGTCCCATAGTTTTGCCAAGCTTACACCGCTGGAGTTGAGATTTTCTGTATCTCTAGTTTATGTCTTAGCTTGAATTGTCTTGGATAACTTCAGCCCCTAAAGTTCTACTCTTCTAAAGATGAGGGTAGGGAAAATGCGTTGTTCGGATTTTATTTTAATGATTTGGCTGCTTTTTCTTTGGAAAGGTCTAGAGACTCTATGCTTTGAAAGAAGAAATGTGTGTAATGTGGGGTTTGCTTTGTTTTAATCAGGGTTTTCTTTCTTTCTTCCTTTCTTTCTTGTGCACTCATACTTTGACAAGAAGTATGCTTTTGAAGAATATTTTATGCTTTCTCATGTTAAGCATATTCTATCTCTATGGAACTTTCAAAAGAGAGAGGAAAATGTTCCCAGCAGTTTTGTCTCTTGGCTGACTCCACAGATTACCACCATCAGTAAGACCTAAGGTGGTTTTTCAAGGTCAGTCCAAGCAGCAGTGAGAAGGAAGTTGATGCAAACACAGGGAAGAGGGAAGCTAAATATTTGACGTAGAAAGGATCTCATGGAGTTTGCAGGTTACATGGAGCTTAGGGGCAACAATTGCTTGTGAGGTGGGGAGAAATGGAAGGGCATGAAATGGACTGGCTGTGAGAAGCCTGGGAACTAAGTGAGGTTAGGCAAAGGCAGCAGCCCTGTGGCAAAGGGCCAAGGGTTTCTGGGGGAAAGCAAGCTAAACACAAGTGCGCAGCGAGCCCTGTCAGAGACGAAGGCTAACAGCACATTGCTCTGTATTCACAGGAGTGTCACCAGTAGATTAAGGGAAGGGGTTATTCCCCTTTTCCTGGCACCTTTCAGAGTGTATTTGGGATCCTGCATCCAGGTTTGGACACATTACACCCCAAATACAAGAAGGACAGTGAGAACCTTGAGGGAGTCTATTTGTAATGCAAGGGGGTGGTCGGGGTGGAGCACACGCCTGCCCTACAAAGAGGACCTGAGGGAAATGGGTTTGTCCAGCCTGCAGAAGAGGCTTGGGGAGTCCTAATAGCAGCCTTCCAATACCAGTTAGGAGGTTGTCAAGAAAACAGAATCATACCATTTGAGAGTTCCACAGTGGTGTGAGAGGAGACAATGGGCACAAATCAAACCGGGAAGTTCGTACTTGACATAAGGAAAAAAATTATTACCATGGTGTCACAGTCCATTTGGATGTCTCAAATTTACAGGTCAACATACTCTGTAAATTAAACTTCATTTTATGAGCTCATTAGGAAAGAAATCAAACATGACAAAGAAGGGTTCAATCCCCTTTGTGCAGACTAGTCTAGCGTGAATTCACTAATTCATCACTTAAGTCATGAGGTTTCTAACTCGCAAGCTCTCTAATTCATAACTCACAACTCATAACTTGTAATTCGTGCATCCATGGGCAAAAGAGTTACCTAGCTGATGGGGAGAGCGTTCATCCTTCCTCCTCCGTCATTGTGCGGGTGTCTCCTGTATCACACTGGAAAGTATGAAATTAGTCATAATTCAGCAGTCCAGCTTCAAAAACTTTTTGGGTAAGCAGACTTATTTATACCTTCCAGCTTGGAAGTTTGGTCTACACCATTTCCATGAGTTAGCAGATTATGAAGAAACTGCCAGACAACCAATACGCAAGGATGGTGGCTGCAGGAGACAGCAAGCCGCAGGTGACAATGGCTGCACAATGACCTTTAGCCCTTTCTGGCCACCGTGTCCTGCTTATGTGTTGCCTTCGCTTTGACCTCATGACGCTGATCCCAGCATACATCAGGCCTTAACATGAGCTGCGTGTTAGCCAAAATCTGAGCAGGAATTGAGTGAAGAGTCACACCATGGGGACAGTCAACCACTGAAGCAGGTTGCCCAGAGGGGCTGTGAAAAATCTGTTCCTACAGATTTCCAACACCTTAATGGATAAAGCCCTGAGCAACGCGGTCTGAATTCAGTGTTGATCCTGCTTTGAGCAGGCTGGAGTACAGACCTCCCAAATGATCCCTTTCCCCTGGCTGATTCTATGGTAAGAAACCAGGAGATGTGGGGG